GGCCATTTTTGTGGCATCCAGCAGGACGTGACTGCTGGTGGCTCTGGCATGGGCAGTGGGAGCCAGGGGAGGAGGAGAACGCGGCTCTGCAGAGCCAGATAACGAGCACGGAGGGGAAGGGCTGGAGGCAGAGGGGCTCAGAGCCGAGGCTGCAGGGAGCAGGCTGGCCTGGGAGTGTGGAGGAGCACAGGCAATCACCCACACAGGCCCTGCACCCCCAAAAGTGCAGCTCAGGTTGAGTAGGGCTATGATGCTGCAAGCCAGGCACCCACAGTCTCTGCCCAGAGGCTCAGGACAAAAGCTTTGTCCTTGCATCCATGAGGTCCCATCCCCAGGGTCTCTGCACGTGAAGGGTCCCCCACTGCTCCCCTCAAATGCAGCCTACAAGTCCCAGCAGGTATCAGGCTGCAGAGCACCCGGCGAGGGGGGCAGGACCGGATCCCTCGGCCCCCCCAGCTCCCCTGGCGCTGGCGGGAGGCAGTGGGAAGAGCTGGTGAGAGGACGCTGACGGAGACACTTTTTTCCCGTCCTAAAAATAGCAGCTGGCCGTTTCCCCAGCTTCCCGGCCTCGCCAACGCTCTTCCATTAGATGAAAAACCCAAGGCAGCCACCTTCCGTCAGCACGGCTGCGTGTGCTGGGGGAGGCTCACGCAGCCGAAATAGCAGCTGGGGACAGAGAGGGGCAGCGGGAGAGGGAAGGGAACCGGCCAGCCCCAGTAATTCCCAAGATGTTTTAATTAGTACAGCTCTGACTCTGAAGCTTTGCTTATGCTCAGTGCAATGTCTGACCTTTAAGGAAAAAAAAAAAAAAAAAAGGAATGAGAGGGGAAGGGGAAAAGGCACTGGAGCAGCTCAGGAGCTGGAAGTCGGCTGAGCTTCAAATAGGCTCCGCGTCAGGCACTCGGAGGCTTTTAATAAGCCACAGAGTGAGAAATTTAACACCACGGGCTCTATTTTTGATCACTTGTGAAGGGGGGGGAGAGAAAGACAGAGTGAGCGAGAGGAGGGGGAGGAGGTGGTGGTGAGAAGAGGAGGCAGCCAAGATTACATCCTGGGTGGCAGTGCCGAAAATAGCCGTGCCCTGCTCTGAGCGCAGAGCGGCGGGAGCCGCGCAGGGCACGCGGGAGGCCGGAGTGGCGAGCACTGACCTCACAGGCAGCCAACGCGCCTTCCCCGGCTGGAACACTGCAGGGAAAAGGGGATTAGAGCGACGCAGAGGGAGGGACGGAAGCTCTGCAACAACAGTGGAAACCCGAAATCCCTCTGGAAAGGCGTGGGAGGGTGGCATGGAGCGAGGGGCCCGGCTGCAGCTGGTGCAGCAGGACACACATCCCAGATGCCTGGCACAGGCAGAGCTGTCCCCTTGCTCAAACCTGACCCTTCCCAGCGGTGCTGCAGCCCAGTGAACCTTTCCTGCTTCCCTGGGCTGTGAGGAGCCCTGAGGAACCCCAGGTGGCCTCCTCAGCAGGGCTACACCCAGCGAGCACCAAGCTCAGCAGAGCAGCTCCAGCCATCCCCAGCACGAACGGAAGCAGGAAAGATTTCACCATGCACAGCATCTGCTTCCCTCTCCACGCCAAGCCCATCTCCAGGAGCAGGGGAAGTGCCACTGGCAGCAGCAGGGGATGGGGCAGAGCCCCAGCAGCTGCTGTCCAGCTGTGGGAAGCATCCTGCTGTGCCAATGTGGATTCCTGTAGTGCTGGAGCCAGGAGGCTGATGAAGAGCCAGTGCAGGGACAGCACGGCTCTGGAACAGATCTGTGCTCCTGTGCTGCTGAAACCCCGCAGTCCAAGTGGTTACTGGAGATGGAGGTGGCTGGAGCACAGGGAGGGGATTATAAATCTGTCTGATGAACCTCCTGGGGGAGAGTCTTCCCAGCCAAAGCCCAGGGCAGTGTTGGTGACCCCTTCCCAGGGTGAATCTGCCTTGGGGCAGGAGCTGGGAACTGCTCCTGGCTCCAGCTGCCTGGGAAGAAGGCGATGTGCCACAAGAGGGGGTCACATTTCCTTTTAATTGATCAGAACCATTTCTCCACCTCCATTTGTCCTGTTCCATCTGTACAGTCAGGGAGCAGAACAGGGACAGGCTGGGAGTTCTGCATCCACAGTGGGATTCCTGCAAAACACAAAGTGGGGGCAGGTTAGTGCGGGGTGGGCTCGGCTGGGCTGTGGATCCCAATCCCAGGGCTTGGCCCCACTCCAGCTGAGCAACTGCTGTGAGTAAACATGAACCACCAGCTCTGCAGGACCAAAGAGCACCAGGACCAGAGATCAGGAGAGAGCAGGAGCTGGTGCCCTCCTGTGCTCCAGGCTGAGCCCGTTGGAGGCTGTCAGTGACTCACAGCCCTGCACAGCACACGCTGCCGCAATTCCCGGCTGCCAGCACGTGGGAAGGGAAGGGATGAGGCACAGTCTGTGCAGGGCAGAGCAAAAAGAGGCCACAAGGTAAGAGCCTGGCCTCACCTCCCCTGAGAATGAAGCTGTTTGTCTTTGTGGGAGGGAGTGCATGTGGCAGAGACCACGTGCTGCTCTCCCTGTGGGGCCCAGCATCCCCCACTCTGCCCCCAGGCTGCCCCCAAATATGGCCAGTCCCACTGGGACCTGGGGAACCAGCGAGGCCCCAGCAGTGACCACAGTTCCCAGTCTGTCCCAGCACTATCCACCCACCCTGGTCAGGGCTGAACTGCAGTGTCACAGCTGGGCTGGACCCCACAGTGTCACAGCGAAGGCCAGGCCCCACTGCCACCCAGCAGCCCCAGATCAGCTCTGGGCTGGGGATCCCCATGAGCCCCCCCAGAGCTGAGGCCTGAACCTGGCAAGGGACAGCTGTGGTCACTGCTCCCCAGAAGCAAGGTGGATCCCCTCACCCAGCCCAGCAGGCCCTAGAGCAGGGCTGGATGTTCAGCCAGGCTGCAGGTGAACCTCACCTGGATTTACTCCAGAGCCTTTACCAGGGCTTCGTTAGCTTCTACCTTAATCTGAGCTTCTGCTTTAGCAGCTTCATCAGACGCTGCTGCCATCTCTGACACAGCTTTCTCCAGGTTGGATTTTGCAGTCTGGACACGAGGGCACAAAGAATGTGTGTCATTGGGAGACACTGCAGGAGAGGGGACTGTCCTTCCCTCCCTCCCCTGCAGCCACTGGTCCTTCATATGGATGCCAAGGACCCACTGACTTGGGAGCCTCACAGAGCTACAGACAGAGCTGTGCTGGCCCCAGACACCTTATCAGCAGGGAAAAGCTGTTCTGGAGGTGAGGACAAGGTCAGTGTCTGTCCAAGGGGTGGGAAATGGTGTGCAGATTTACGGCTGCAGAGCTCCCACTCTCCAGAGAGTTCAGCAAGGAGGAGCCCCAAGCCTCTGATCCCAAAATGTAGTGGGGGTGCAGACACAACCCTGGGTTTTGGGCACAGGAAGCTCCCAAAACAAGGACCCCAGAGCAGAGAAGGGGAGCAATTTCCCCCCAGGGAGGGAGCCCAGGGCTGGTGAAATCTCTGGGTACTCACAGCCAGGTCCAGCATGTCCATGGTCACTGCCTCCTCTGCCAGCACCTGCACCGTGGAGTCGGCGTGGACAGTGACAGAGCCGCTGCTCACTGTGAGGCACAACATGGGGGGGCTCAGCCAGGGGGCTCAGCCCTGGCATCCCTACCATCCTTTCCCAGAACAAACCCTCATCGCCCCCGTCACATTTCCAGCATTCAGGGACTCAGCTCCCACTCCAAGGCAAGCTGGAGCAGGGGATGCTCCCGGAAAGCCTGAGCAGAACCAAGACCTGACCCCAGCCCACGGATCCCAGATCAGCTTCCACCAGCCCCTGGCAGGCTGGGAAAGCAGAAATCCCTGGAAGTGCACCAGGTCACACCTGGATGGGCAGAGCCTCCCTTGTGAAAGCAGCAAGAACGCCATCCCCATGCACACCTTTCCTCCCCAGCTCCTCCTGCCTCGCTCACCAAAGTACTTGGTGGCTGTCCCATCCTCAGCATGGACTGTGACAACGCCCGGCCGGAGCACCTGGAGCGTGGGGACGTGGGATGCCAGGATGCCAAAGGAGCCGGTCAGCGTGGGTACATCCACCTGCTTCACGTTGGCACCGTTGTAGAACACCTGGATGAAGAGGGCAAAAAGGCACAGTCACCAGGGATGGGGGGATGCAGAGCAGCGGCTCTGGAGAGCCCAGGGAAGAGCCTATCCCAAGGGAGCAGCCCAGCCTCCAGCTCCTGGCAGGTTCAGCACATCCAGGTGTGCCCAGGACAGGCTGCACCTGCACAGGGTGGGAGCGGAGCCGGGCTCCAGAGGACAGATCCTGGCAAAGGCAGCGGGGAAGCGTTCCCAGCTCCCAGGGGCACGGCGGGGAGGCGGCACATGGAGACACAGAGTCGGGAGTGGGCGAGAGGCGCCGGCACAGCCGGGAGCAGCCTGGGAAGCGCGTGGGGAGCCCTGAGCTGCCGTCCCCGCTCCGGCCCACGCTGCCGGGCTGTCCCTGTCCCCAGCGCCAGCCCGCGCCCTGCCCCGGGGACAGTCCCGGCCGGGCCCGGCGGGGGCGGACCGGCCGTGTCCCGCTGCAGGCCGGCGGCGCTGCGGCGGGGCCGGGGCTGGCAGGGCTGGAGCGGCCCCGGGCAGGCCCCGGAGCGCTGCGGCGGGGACGGAGCGCCCGGGTCGGGCGGGCAAGGCCCGAGGTCAGGGCCAAGGTCAGCCCGGGGACAGCCCTGTGAGAGCCCGGCGGTGCCCCGGGAACCGCAGAGCCCCCGGGAGCGGACAGCCCCGCGGGGGCGGCAGCACCGCCCGCGACCCGCCTGCCCCGCGCCCTCAGGGGACACCGGGCGAGGCGGCGGCGGGGGCACCGGGAGCGGGGCTGCGACGGGCCTACCTGTGTGGGTGAGGCGAAGGTGAAGGCCATGGCGGCGGGGCCGGCGGCGGGATCGGCATAGCCGCGGGCGGGGGGCAGCGGCAGCGAGGGGCGGGTGAGGCGGAGGAGGCGGCGGGCGCAGAACATCGCAGCCATGGCGGCGGCGGCGGCGGCGGCGCGGGGCAGGCCGGGACGGCACCGGACCACAGCTCCCGACGCACCCCGCGCGCCACCCGGCGGAGGAAAAGCACGCTGCGCCGCATGGCCTTATGGGAATTGTAGTCCCCGCCGCCCGCCGAGTGCCGTGGTGCTGGGCGGGGGGGCCCGCTCCGCCCCCGCACCGAAGGGCAGCCGCACCCCCGGCCCGGTCCGGCCGTGCCCCGGCGGCTCGGGGCGCTCCGGGGCAGGGCTGGGCACAGGGAGGTGCGACAGGGATGCAGGCAGGGCTATGGGACAGGCAGGGGTACAGGCAGCAGAGGGACAGGCAGGGATGCAGGCAGGGATCCAAGGAGGGCTGGTGCAGGCAGGGATGCAGGCAGGGATGCAGGCAGGGATGGTGCGGGCAGGACTGGCACAGACGGCTGTGAGGGCAGGAGTGGAGGCAGGGCTGGTGTAGGCAAGGGTGGTGCAGGCAGGGATGCAAGCAGGAGTGCTGTCAGGGCTGCAGCAGGCAGCGGTGTAGTCAGGGCTGAGGCAGGCAGGAATAAGAGCAGCGGTGCAGGCAGAGGTACGGGAAGGGGCGCAGGCAGGGCTTAGAGGCAGGATTGTGGGGCAGGGAGAGGGGCAGGGGGTACGGGCAGGGCTGGGGCAGCCCCTGTCCCCACGTGACGCCCGCGCCGCGCGGGGGCGGCTCCGGTTCATTCATAAATCCCGGGGCCGCTCCGCCGCACCGAGCGCAGCGGCGGCGATGGAGCCCCGGTCTCGGTTGTAGGTGAGTGTCTGGCTCCACCGCCTCGCGACAGCCCCTATCGCGACATAGGGAGCCGGCCCGGCCGAGGGGAGACCATCACGGTAGAGGTCCCGGGGGCTCCTGCCTCGCTGTCACCAGCCCTGTCACCAGCTCTGCCTGCATCCCTTATTCCTGCCTGTCCCACATCCCTGCTCGCATCCCTCATATGGCTCATCCTCCATCCCTGCCCCACATTCCTGCCTGCATCCCGCATCCCTGCCTGCATCCTGCATCCCTGCCTCCATCCCCGCCCCACATCCCTGACTGCATCCCCGTCACCTGGGGATGGGGCTGGGGCGAGGGGCTGCAGTCTCAGGGGGCACAGCGGGTCCCCCCCACGCCCCCAGCCCAGTCCCGGTCCAGCCGGACCCCGTGGGTCGCACACACGCGTGGGGCGCAGCCCCGGCCCGCCCCCCGCACCCCTTCCCACGTGCGGAGGCGCGGCACCACCGGGATCCCCCGACCCCGAGCCGCCGCCCCGGGCACTGGCGGCGACCGCGGGTCCCGCCCCGTGTCCCCCGCGGGGGGGACAGCCCGGGGACCGGCCCCCTCCTCCAGACAATGGCCGTCCTGTTCCTGTCGGGTCGCCATGGAGACGGGATTCCTCCATGATGGGGAACAGGAGGGATATTCTTCCCGCTCCCCCCGGCCCCCCGCCTCGGGCCTGAGGGTGCCCCACAGGGATCCCGCGCGTGGGGCGCCCATCCCACATGGAGCCGCAGCCCCCTCGCCAGGGGTCCCCCCAAGGGGATGGGAAGCGGGACCCCCCCACCCCTTTACCCTTTCTCGGGGGTCTCAGCGTGGGTCCCCTCACCTCGTGCTGCATCCCACCAGCTTGGAGAGGCGTGAGGGCCGGCGCAGGCAGGGGGTTCTCTGCCTCGGGAGGCCGCCCACACCCCCATATCCCTCCAAGGGGTTGATACCCCGACCTGTGACAGGGCTGCCCTCAGCCATCACTGTCCCTCACTGCCAGCTGCGACACGGCCACCCCTGCGCTGTCCCCACGAGTGACAGTCCCCACCCCTTCACGGGCTCCATTCACATTTTTCACTGACCTAATTTTGAGCGGCTTCCAAGTGCCCACCCCTGCCCGCTCCGGGGGTCCCCGACACAGCATCGCCCACCCAGCCCCAGCTCAGCCCCTTCGGCAGCCTGGGGACACACGGAGGGGACACACGGAGGGGACACACGGCCTCGCAGCGGGAGCTGGAGCTCGGAAGCCCCCGGGAAGGGCCAGACACGCGGGAGGGTGATGAGGTCCCACCGGGTCCCCAAAGGCCGCAGGGCCGATGCCGCAGAGGAGGGGAGCGGGACCCCTGTCCCGGCGGCTCTCGCTCCTCAGGAGCTCGGCGCGGCCCCCCCGGCCCCTCGGTGTCCCCCCCCCCGCCCCCCCCGTGCGGACAGCCCGGTGACGGAGCCGCTCTCGGGATGACTCACGAGCGTCACCCGTCGCGCTCCGGCGACACCCACGCCACGAGCGGTGGGGCGGCCACCTGCCCCCCGTCCCTGCCGGGAGCCCCCAACGCGGCTCCCCCCGAGCTGCCGCGGCCAGGGGGTCTCCCCCGGCGGCGGGGCTGGGGCTGCCTTTGGCCCCCGGCGACGGCAGCGCGGTGTCACCCCGGATCTGGGGCAGGGATTTCACCCCCCCGGCCAGCTCTGGCCACCGGCACTCGCCACCGTTTGGGAGGGTTCCGGTCCTAGCCGGGCGTGGGGACGGTGGCTGCTCTTGGCGGGGCCGGGGGTTGTGCCCACACGAGTCCGGGGGCTGTACCCGGAGGGGGTGAGGGGCTCCCTGGGGGGGGGCAGCGGTTCTGCCCTCTCCTTCCCATCCCTCCATCCGTCCATCCCTGCTTCGCTCCTGACCACACCCTCCATCCCCTCATCCTTCCCCTGAGCACACCCTCCCTTCATCCCTCCATCCCGGTCCCTCCCTCCATCTCTCCATCCCGGTCCCTCCCTCCCGGTCCCTCCCGGCAGCTCCGCACCGCGGTGCCGGGCAGGGGCCGGGCAGGAGCCGCCGCCGCCGCTCCCGGCCCGGCCCCGCCGTCCCGGCCGGTGCCTCCCTCTGTCTCCCCCCGCCCCAGGACACGCTCGGGCCGGGACAGACCATGAGCGATGACCCAACACCCTGGGACAACGCGACCGAGAGCGCCACGGTGAGTCCTGCCTGTCCCTGCCTGCCCCCGCCTGTCTCTGCGCCCCTCCCCGAGCCGCCAGCCCCGGGGTCCCGGGGAGGGGGGGATGCATGCCCGGAGCTGTGGGCTTCTCGTGGCTGCCGTGGGGCTGCCGTCTTCGCTCGGGTGGGGACGGCAGCAGCCCCGCTGTCACCCCCTGCTCTGCCAGTCTGAGAGTGGGTGACAGTTCTCAGTGCCCTGCGCACTGCTGGGATGCTCTGGGTGCTGGGGGTCCGGGGGCCTGGGCGCGGATCAGCCCCTCTCCCCCGGGCAGGGGGAGCGAGCACCGAGCCCCGCGGTGGGGCAGGGTTGAGGGTCCTGTCGCCGTCCCCATCCCCATCCCTGTTCCCACTCCCACTCGGCGCGGGGGCCGCGGGCGGCTCAGCCTCCCCGGCTGCCGTTGCCTTGGTGCAGGCAGGGCCCGGGGGCGGCGGGGGGTGGGGGGCGCGGCGGCTCTGGGGGCAGCGCTGGCGTCAGCAGCAGCTTTGAGGTGGGTCGGGGCCCCCCAGCGCGTCCCCGCGGCTCAGCCCCTCGGCCCCGGGCAGGCGGTGCCCGGCGAGGTGTCCCCTCAGGATGGGTACGTGCTGCTGCTCGCCCTGCTCTCCATCTTCATCGGGGGCACCCTGGTCCTGCTCTCGGGCATCCTGATCATCTGCCGCCGCTGCTGCGAGGCCGACCGCCGGCATTCCAGGTGGGCAAGGGGTGACCACGCCACTGTCCCTGGGGTGTGTGGCACCGCATGGAGGGTCAGGGGGGCTAGCCTGGCCACCTCTGACCCTCCTCCCCCCGCAGAGCCAGCGATGACCCCGAGAAAACCAACACCACTTACCTGGATGACTCGCAGCAGGCGCAGGGTGAGTGACCCGAGTGCTGTGCTGATCCCTCCCAGCTGCAGCCCGAGCTCTGGGGAGGGGGGTGAGGCAGCTCCTGGGCCCTCCCCTCCCAAGATGCAGCCCCCGACCCCACAGCAGTGACCACCACACACCCCTTGTGCCCTCCATTGTCCATCCCTGGCTGTGGAGCAGGATTGGCAGCCGGGAGCAGGGAATTCCAGGCCAGCATTGAGGCCATGAGTGCAACAAGTTTGCCAAGCCTCAGCTGGGGAAGCTGGGGTATACACCACGGTGCGGGGAGCTGGTTGCTGACCCCCTTCTCTGCAGATATCACTGGCAAAGCAGAGGACCCTGAGTGCCTGTCGTCCTCCAGCTACCGGGATGCGGAGAGCGAGCGGTTCTTGTCCTCCAGCTCCTCCACTGCCCGGCGCGTCTCCTTCAACGAGGCTGCGCTCTTTGACCAGGGCAAGAAGACCCAGGAGAAGGGGAGGAGGTGAAGCTCTGGGCTGAGGGGGGCACAGGGCGTTGGGGCTGCCCCTCCTGACCCAGCTGTCCCACAGGTACACACTGACAGAGGGGGACTTCCACCACCTGAAGAACGCCCGCCTGACTCACCTGCACCTGCCACCGCCTGCCCTGAAGATTGTCACCATCCACGAGTGCGAGTCCAGCGAGAACAGCCTGGCCATGACCCCCCGCCTGCCCCCGCCCAAGCCTGGTCTCGCCATCTTCCAGGTGAGCCCTCAGTGCCCGAGGGACAGATGGCACGTGGGGGCCTGGCACCCTGCAGCACCCCAGGGAGGCTCCGCTGGGACCGGGGTGGGAGTCTCAGGGCATTGCTGGAAGTAGAGACAGGAGGTCCTGGGGTGCAGGGGCCCCAGCCTTGTGCAGACCCCCTGAGCGTGCTCTGCTTTGCAGCCCCCCGCGGGGGCCCTGCCCCGGCCAGTGCTCCCCAGCCATGCCGTGGGCCCCAGCTCTGCCCTGCCCGGGGACACCTACAACTCCACCGTGGACACCAGCTTCACAGAGGCCAGCCCGTCTGCCTCCTCCGACTCCGGGGAGGGGCCTTCGGTGAGTGCTGGGGCAGGGGGGCTGGGACTGGGCAGGGGAAGGGGCTCCCAGCCTGCACAGCCCCAAGGGTCCTGTCCTGCTCCCTCCCTGCTCCCCCAGATCCCATCCCTGCCCTCTCGCTCCGTGCCAGGGCTCAGGAAGAGACGTGGGCATCCAGCTAGAAACAGGCTCTGCCCCCCCCGCCCCCGCCTCGTCCCTGCCCCGGGGGACATTTGTGCATCTGCTGCAGCCCGGCTCTGCGGAGCGGACAAAGGAGCCGAGTGGGATGCAGGGGGGCTGGGGAGGCATGCTTGGGTCCGAGCGGGCACTCACGGCCCCCCCCGTACCCCCAGTTCACAGCAACACCCAGGAGTGGGAAGGCGGCTGGGGCAGGCAGTGCCGGCCCCGGGGAGCCCCCCGCGACCCCCCCCCAGGGGACCGTCCTGCAGTTCTTCACCCGCCTGCGTCGCCACGCCAGCCTGGACGGGGCCAGCCCCTACTTCAGGATCAAGAAGTGGAAGCTGGAGAGCACCCAGCGGGCGTCCAGCCTGGACACCAGAGGTGGGGGTCAGGGGGGCAACGCCGGGCTGTGCAGCGTGGGTGGCCATGTGTGGGTGGGGGGCTGCTGGTGCCGGTTGGGTTGTCCCCCCAGCCCTGCCCTGCGCCCCCCAGGATCCCCCAAGCGTCGGCAGTTTCAGAGGCAGCGGGCGGCCAGCGAGAGCATGGACCAGGAGGACCGGGACCCCCATCAGACCGACATCATCCAGTACATTGCCCACACGGACGACGTGTCCTTCCACCCCGCGGGGGGCCCCTTCCTGCCCTCCCCCGCCAGCCCCCCACCCTCTCTCGGCAGGTATTTTTCAGTAGATAAGAGGGGATGGGGATGGGTGAGCCGGGCGCCGGGAAGGCACCGAGGGACCCCGCGCTGCCCTGGGCATGGGGGCTCTGCGGCTCTGGTGGGGAAACCGGGTCTGGGGTGAGCGGTCTGGGGGTGTCTGGTGGGGTTGGGTTGGGGCATGGGCACGGTGGTGGCAACAGCATGGAGGACCAGGTGGCACCATGGCGCTGCTGTGGAGCCTGCAGGGGCTGGGCTGGCGCATCCCTGCCCGCTGCCTGCGGGGTCTGTCCCTGACGTGACACCGGGGTGGTGCCCGCAGGCTAGAGCCAGGCGAGGGGGTCGCGGGCAGCCCCGGCGAGCCCAGCGTGCCCGAGCAGCCCAGCGCCTACCACGACATCTGGAGCCTGCGCGCCTCGCTGGAGCTGTACGCGGCCTCCGAGCGCAGCAACGACCAGGACTCGGTGCGCAGCGACGGCGGGGACAGCGTCTCCTCCACCAGCGGCGTGCCCCCCTGCCTTTCCCCTTCCCTGGATGAGCCTGAAGGCCCCGAGGAGAAGTTCTGGGGTCGGCCCAAGCCGGAGGAGTCGGAGCCCGGCACACGCAAGCTGCTGCAGATGGACAGTGGCTACGCCTCCATCGAGGCGCCCAGCCGGGGGGGCGAGGAGGGCCCCCCCAAGGACCAGACAGCCTCTGAGAAGCGCATTTGCTTCACCAGCGCCGGGCGGAAAGGAACCATCTTCGAGAGCTTTGAGGGCCGGGAGCCGGAGGAGGAGGAAGATGAGGAAGAGGAGGAGGGGGGGAGCACGACCCTGGGCGCAGCGGGCGGGGGGCACCTCCGTCCCCACAGCCCCCTGGCCTGGTCCCCGTATGGGCAGATGTTCCCGGGGCGGGAGGGGCTGCCCCGGCGGGACTACAGCATCGACGAGAAGACGGACGCGCTGTTCAACGCCTTCGTGCGCCACGACCCCCAGTTCGACGAGTCCCCGCTGCGGGGCAAGCACCGCTCCCGCACCCACCTGCGCAAGCAGTGGCAGCACACGAAGCAGTTCAGCGACCCCGGCGTGCGGTACCCGGCGCTGGAGCGGCACCGGACGCCCCTGCGCCGCGGCGACAGTGCCAACTACCCGCTGGACTCCCGGTTCCACAGCCCCCTGCCCCGCATCGTCAGCGCCGGCGACGAGGAGGCGGCAGAGGCGTCCGATGGGGTCCCCCCTGCCCCGGCGCTGCCTGACCCCGAGATCCAGGTGATCGTGGAGGAGCCCGGAGAGGCGGCCCCCGAGCCCAAGGCTGGCTCTGAGCCCCCCGAGGACGATGACTGCCCCGGCCCCGGGAGGTGCTTGGGGCTGGGCTCCGGCTCGGAGCTGATGGACAAGATCGCCGGCGGCCTGGAGGAGCGGCTCTACGGGCACCTGAGGAAAGCGGCAGAGAGAGAGACCCCCGAGTGCACGGTGGCCGTGGCGGCCAGTGATGCCTCCCCCGACCACAGCACGGTCTAGGCCCAGCGGGAGGGGGAGAGACCCCGGCACAGGGGGGCTCGGCCCCCACCAGGGTTCAGGGCTTCGTCCCCTCCTGCTGCCGGCACGGGGTGCCCAGTGCTGGAAGGGGGTCCCGGCCCAGGCCAGGAGGGCACGGGGGGACCCCTGGCTGTAACCTCAGCACGGGGGTCCGGTAGCGTGGGGTGGCCGAGCCCCCCGGCTCCCGGGAGCGAGGGCCTGGGCTGGGGGAGCCCCGGGGGTCGGGGCTCGGTGGAGAAGCCGAGCGTTGGCCGGGGGTCAGCGCCGAGGGACTTTGCTGAAGCCCTCA